GTGTGTAGTATGTAATATTTTTGTTTCGAAATCCTTGTATTTTATTTCAAATAAAATACAATCGAATATAATTCTAATATGATATAAATTTGTTAAAAGCGTCACAAGTATAAAAAAATTTTTTCAAATTTATTTCCCAGTTTAAAACAATAGAAAATTTGTTACGAATTTCAACGCTCCATCTTGGGAATCAAAGTTGAAAATCTTATATTACCGACAGAGGGTTAAAATCTTTTTTTATTTATTGAACCTAGATTATATTATATTAGAACACTTTGCACTTTACACTTATTATATCACGAAAAAGGTAAAAATTAAAAATTGTTTGTTACTTGGTCCAAAAATCATTTTTGTTTAATATCCCATCGATTATATTTCCTAATCTTTATTCATGCGATAATTCGCCTAATCTAGTAGCTTCAAAGAAAAAGTTCAACAACTGATTTAAACATAAAAAGCTCGATTAAATCAAGTGAGACTTTTCTCAAAATTTTTTTATCTTTATGCCAATTCGAGCTGATAATTGTGATCGCATAGGCGGAGAAAAATTTTACTTACCGTCTTAACGAAAAAGTCACGCTGCTTGTTTGTAATGTATGATATTGTTGGATTATCGCTTGATACTGTTTCTTAACTTCTACTTGTATTACTGTTGACTCTTTATCAAAATCACTGTCGAAATTCGATGGCGGCGATGGCAACGATAGCCATAACGATGACTACGATGGCGAGAAAGTGCGACGATAGTGGCCGCCGCTAGTCGCTACGATACGCCTGTCTCGTGAATGCGCAATGCAGACCAGAAACGCCGCGCCACGACGTGTAAAGGAAGTTGGAAAACCACCCTCCTTTTACCCTCTCATAAATGCTTCGCGTATTAAGTTCGCTTTCGTTTATTAAGAACGCTTGATTGCCTTCTAATATAATCCAAGTTCTGAGCAAATGGAATTTTCATAATTTTACTACGCACAAGGATATAATAGATATTCACTTCTCTTATTTTAGGCATTTAGGTTTCTAACTTCAACAGTAGAATAAGAATACTATTAAAAATTATTTTAAATATTTGCAAATAATAAAAAAAAATTTTTTAAGTAAATATTGCTGTATCTAGACTTCATTATTTATATTTCTTTGCAATTGCTCCATTTTTGTTAATATATCTCAACAACTATAGTTACAGATATTTTTTTTATTTTTTTCCATTATCCGCAAAGGTTTAAATTCTTTTTTTTAACTATTTTCTTACGACAAATACTCGTGTATGATCATTAAGCAATAATAGTAATTATATATATGTATAATCATAATTTTTTAAATAGTAGTGTTTTATTTTTATATACTATTTTGTTGTATATAAAATTGTAATAATTATATATAAACCAAATTATTAAAGAATATTCTTATATATTCTATTAACATCACGATCAACGTAAAACTTTATATATATAATAATATATAATTGTGTAATAATATAATACATATGTATGTAATATACAGTGTATTCCAAATTTAAATGTTCAATTTTCGTGAGCATGCAGAGAATCGAGAAATTAAGAAAAAAAGTTTTTTAGAGATATGCTCGTTTTTGCTTCGTTTTGGAATGTTATCGTTTTCAAAATGCAATATTATATAATTGTTTCGTGTACGACTTCAGCGATAATACTTCAGAGGCAATGCGAGAGTATGCGCGCCGATTTCCAACCAAAAGAGTGTCGGATCGGCGAGTCATTTATAGGTGACCAAATCGGTATTTGGATGCAACACGAGTTATCCGAACAAGATGTAATGTGTGCATTGCTGTAAAACGCTAACATTTTGAACAATATCTGCATTAAGCAAGTGATAACGTGAATAAATAAGTGTGAATGAATAAGCAATAAATAAGTACAAAAATGAAAACTACGTTTTGTCCTTTTTGCTATTTTCTTCGAAACAGAGCAAGAACGAGCATGTCTATACAGGACCTTTTTCTTAGTTTCTTATAGCGTTTTTCATTGGCAAAACAAGTGCGCACTCAGTGCACATTAAAGCTATTGTACACTATTCTAAATCTAAATATAAAAATGAGATATCTCAATAATTGATAAAATGCCCAAAATTTATTTTATCAAATAGCACAATAAAATGTATCGAATATTTCATGGTTTAATTCTTTTATATATTTTTATTAAATGTATATCTTCACGTCGATTTTTGTACAACGGCTTTAAAGTGCACTGAGTGCGCACTAGTTCTGCCAATGATAAACGCTATTAGTTAATCGCCTAGGCTACTACACGCTCCCGAAGTTTGGCCATTTAAATTCGGGATATGTACCTACACATACAAGGTAAAAATTTTCAAACGTAATGAGACAAATTTCTTGAAAGATATAGAAGATATAGGGAAAAATGTTTCAGACAAAAGTTACATTGGCTGCGTTCAGCAGCTCAGCAGTTTTGCAACCGTTTTATGATTCGTCGCGCTAATTGGTTTATACTTTTAGTTTTAAAGGAATAGTCCAATCTAAGCGAAGACTCATAAAACGATTGCAAAACTGTTGAGTCTTCTGAACGGAGCCATTATGCAAGAAAAGATTCAGTACCAACTTCACGACGCGATATTCATAGTCGACTCTTACATTTATTAAGACTATCTTAAGTACAATCTTAAGATGTCGTAAGTCAGTCCGACTGTATTAACATCTTAAGACATTATATTTAAGACAGTTTTAAGATAAGAACGGACTATGAATACCGCCCCATGTTTGCGTTTCGCAATTTGTAGTCCTTGAATCTCATGAACATCCATAGACAGAGAGGGCTGAGATTTAAGCGGGGAGCACAGACTCTTGCATAACGCATAACACGTAATGCATAAGAATATGTACCAATCGAAGTTCTCCGTTTCTTTCCCTTCCATGTAATAGAGAACTCTGGTTGGTTCAATTTCTTATGCCTCATGTGTTATGCGTTATGCAAGAGTCTGTGCTCTCCGCTTTAGAGCCCAGACACAAGCTTTTGCATAAAGCATAATGCATGGTGCATAAACGAATCAACTAATCAGAATCTTTCCTTTCCTCCCATTCCATGGAAAAGAAGAATTTTGATTGGTTGATTCTCTTAAATGCACTATGCGTTATGCGTTATGCAAAAGCTTGTGTCTGGGCTCTTAGGATATATCCTCACAAACTTGTATAGTCGCATAAAGAAAATTATCCAATCACATTTTACGTGCGTCTCTATAGGAGAAATGTGATTGGGTAATTTTCTTTATACATATGTTTATGCGACTATGGAAGTTTGTGTGGATATACCCATAAGCGGGGAGCACAGACTCTTGCATAACGCATAACACACGAGGCATAAGAAATTGAACCAACCAGAGTTCTCTAATTACATGGAAGGGAAAGAAACGGAGAACTTCGATTGGTACATATTCTTATGCATTACGTGTTATGCGTTATGCAAGAGTCTGTGCTCCCCGCTTTATAGGGTGCGCTTACCGCGGTACAAAGGACTCAAAGGAGGTGTAATAAAGGAGAAAAGAAGCAAGCGGCACAGTTTGCGCGATTCCTATATATATAGTTACCTAGTTAGATTCAGTACCGCGTACCGCGTTATATATGTAATCGCATCCTGAGAGATAGAAGATGTATATTTTTATCCTGTTCAATAACTTTTCTTCTTTCTGCGCATATACCAAAAGAGGATAGAAGAGGATAGAAATACATCTTCAGTCTCTCATAGGCCGGTATTCATAGTCGGTTCTTATTTTAAGACCGTCTTAAGTAATGTCTTAAGTCGCTAATGCGGCCTTCTGATTGGTTCATGACATCTTAAGACTGTACTTAAGACGGTCTTAAATATAAGATCCGACTATGAATCCCGGCCATAGCGTTTTCGGCCCGGTCAGGTTTGCACCAACCTGGGTTGGATTAATGGCGTTTTGTGCTCTACTCCTATTGGTAGAGCGGGTGACGTCAATCAATAGGAAAGATTAATCCAACCCAGGTTGGTGCAAACCCGATCGGGCCGAAAACGCTATCAGTCTTGCTCACAGCTCGACGTCCGTATTCCCTTTCCAGTACAATAAGTTCTATGGTCCAACTGCACACACTATGTTATTCCTTCCACTATGGTGTCGTGTCGGCGCCCGGCATCAGGGCTTTCTTTCTTTCCTGCAGAACACCGCGATGTTCATCACATGCGACACGCTATCCAATGAGCGTATAGTTTTAGAATGAGAACATCGATAAAGCTGTACGCTCATTGGATATCGCGTCTCGTATGCGGCGAACGTCGCGCTGGGCGCCAGCCAATGTCAATTTGACATGATAAACATGACAAATTCGGTCAACATGACGTCAAATTTACATTATTTTGATTTTCTGTTCTTCTTGGGGATGGTCGTAACTTGACCGATGATGTAACTTGTTATAGGCCTTCTACAATAAGCCGCAAGTCAGAAGTTTTACGCGATCTTAAGTCATAATCGGTGAAGTTGGCCAATAGCCAACTTGAACGACTTGATTAAAACTGGTTGAGACCTCTGACGTTCTGACTTGCGGCTTATTGTAGAAGGCCTATTAACAATTCTGATTGGTCGCTCGACTGTCACGTGATTACATCCTGCGCGTAGGCATACCCTTGTCTTTATATTGTATTCGCAATCGTTTCATATTATTCGTTTTATCGATACAACGTCACTTGGCGACTTGGTCACCAAGTCACGAATTACCGTGCAAGTCATTGTCAAACATTTTCGCTAATCATATTTAGCAATTAATAACTAAAGTTCATTATTGTATAAACTATATTCGCGCGCGCGCGCGAATTGTTTTTAATAAACAAAAAAGTCGTTTTTATTAAATAAAAATCAATATTGTAAAAGATGGAGAAAACGAAGAAAGTAGACAAATTACCGTTGGATCCTCAACGAGAATTTTTGGACATGGATACAGACGACGAAGATTTTGGTCGACAAGGTCTTTTTATCATAACTTGTTTTTTCCAACATTTCTGATAATAGGTTTATTAATAAATTAATTAATTGTTAATTAACGCGTATATACATACAAAAGTATGCGTGCCTTTTAAATTGTTTCAGAAAGTCCCGAAACTGAAGAGGAGCAATCTTCTGAACCAATCAAACCAGTCTTTGATGAACAAGATTTAGATAAATTGGTTATTCTTTCAAGTTTATAGATACATTCTCACATACGTATCTATATGTATATCATTGTTTTATTTTTCATAAATCTCCCATTTTATTCTTTTATAATTGCACAAAAATATACTACTATCTTTACATTATATCTGACGTCAAATATATATTAACTAACTAGAAAGAATATGATTAGCATTTTTAGAATATATTTATCAGTTAAATCTTTCCAACAAACGTTTCTATATATATAAACGATATACGTTTACACGTTACATTATTTCAGGTACAATATGTAAAAGATTTCACAATTCTTCCTTACATCAAGGACTCCGATTGGAAAGAGGATTGTTATACAATAATTCGCGAATATTTCGAATATCCAGCTTACACGTTATTATGTATATATTTTCAAGTTGATACACTGAAGGCACAATTAACCATTTTGGATGATAATCAAAGCGATTTCATTTATTTCTTACGAATACCTTGGCATGTGTTTACAGTCGATAATTTTCATGCCACAGTTGTCTTCGGCAGCATCAATCGTAACGCAATGATGTGCGTGTTGAAAGTAATGGAAAACATGTATGTCTCGGTCGCACGTAACAGTAGCGAGTGGCCAGAGAGTATCTTTTTTTAATATTTAATAATGATAACTGCGTTTGATGATAATTTTATCGAGACACTTTTGGAATCTAAATATTAAAATTCTAAAAATAACAAATAATTGATACTTTTAATCATAAATTCAAATTGCATCATTTTTCAAATCATATTTTTGAAATAATTGTTCTTTAGTTTAGTTTAGTTTGTTTTTCAATGTCAATCTCATAAACATTTCCTTATTTCAATGTCAATCTCACAAACATTTCCTTATCTTTTTAACGAAAACAGTTATCAGAAACAATCTGTTTTTCAATCTACACAATTTTCTAATGTGCTTAACTGAATGGGTTTACAAACCGATGGGTTTAACCAAATTATACATACCGGGAGAAAATCTGTCTGATATCGTGACACTACATAAAGATAAAAAGTCAAATTCATCCAACAATGAGACAAATGGTCTACATGTTTCTAAGGAATTGCAGGAGTCGGAAAAGGCATTGATTGATAGATTTGAAGGAATTGTACGTTATTGGATCAAACAGATACGGCAAGTATTGACAAGTACATCCACAAACAATAGTGGACGAACTGTATTCGACGAGTTGCAATATTGGACAACGAAATGTTAGTTTCGAATGCTATTATATTTCATATTACCAGGGTTGGGTAAGTTAACTTTTTTTTTAACGAAGTTAAGTTAAAGTTAACAACCTTGAAAATTTAACTTAGTTAAGATATAAGTTAATTTATAATGAAATTAATTGAATTAAAAGTTAAATTAATAAAAAAAATTAATTAAAAAATTAAAAGCTAAATTCGTTTTTTTTTTATTCTTTTAATTCATGATTTCAGGGTTTGAGTCTTACAAATAACGGAAATGATCAATATATACTTCATTTAGAAAATACTCTATATTTTATTTACATATTTCGTTTATATACATATACTGTTTAGTATATAAGATTCGACTATGAATACTGGCCTGTGGTATAACTAAAGCTTCAGACACAATACGAGGGAGTGGCGATAATAATAAAGAATAATAGACTTCAACCTATCAGAAACTAGATATATCGAAATACACGGTTTTTGACAGATTGAAATCTGGGGAATATGTCTGGGGAATTTAAAATGAGGTGAAAATTACAAAAGTGAGCAAATTCTCTCTCACTAGAATATTTATAATTTAATTAGTCAACACCTAGTAAATTTGCTCACTTTTGCAATTTTCACCATATTTTAAGTTATCGCTATAGCCGCATATTATATATCTGAGATTTAACTTCAAAGAATTAAAAAAAAATTAATAGAGTTACGGATAAAATGTAACTAAATAAAGTTAAAAAGTTAAGAGTCTAAAATGTAACTAAGTTAAGTTAAAATGAAATAACTTTTTAACTTTTTAACTTAACTTTTATCTTTTCCACTTAGCACTACCCAACCCTGCATATTACGAATCGTAAGCGATTAGCCGTTCGTGTTTATTACAATTTTTGTCTCAAAAGAACATAAAATGTTTTATTTTCAGATTTTAATTTATGTTGTTTGCACGATCAATTATCGAATATGGAAATTCAATCGATGTTGCATCTGTTAGAGAACGTTTGTTCGCCGAGCGTAGATTCCTTTCAACTTTTAACGTTACAGCTTTGCGAAAGCTTAAAACAAGCTGCATCCAATATAATGTATCTGAATATTCTATCAGAGGCTTGTAAGAACCTGAAATGTCCAAGCGAGATTGAAAAACCCATAATGAAAATATTGTTACTGATACTGTTTATCTGGACAGAATCCCCGTTTTATAATATGTCGTATGCGATCTTTTATATTTATTTAATATAACATAAAAATATTTGACTATTTGCAATCCTAATAACATTTTGATTTCTGACTTATTTTAAAATTATTCACATATTTAAGAAGTTGGATAACGAAACAGATTTACTTGTTTATTTTAGGAATAACATAGAAGTACTTTGTGAAGCTATAAGCATACAAATAGTACATCAATGTAAAAATTATGTCAATTTGCAAGTAATATTAGAAGGCGATACAGAAAATGGAATAAATATACTTCGGAAGTGCATTTCTTGTTGTCAAATATATAAGACGATATATAACAAAGTATCTAAATTAAATACATGGCCAATTTTATCAAGCTTCCACCAAGCAAAATATTTCCTTAATAATCTTTATAAACAATTACAAAATAATTAATAAATTTTACCAACGTTAGCAAATATTAGTTGAAATAAAATAAATTGTATCCAAAAACTCACAAGTTTAATAAATAATTTTAAAAAATTGATAGATAAAATTGACCGTAATTTCTAGAATAGAATTCGAGCATTTGTTCTTTTTTGGCAAAAAATTAATTGCAGGTTACAAAAATAACTGCGCTTATTAAATCGAATAGTAATTGGGATGTAAACGAACAATTAATATTTAATTACACTGATACGTTTATGCAAAGATGTTATGATATCATTGAAATATGCAATACTTCAACAGTGTTTGAAAAGTAAGACGTAATATTTTGCATATGCATATTTGAATATGCATAACCAGGAAAAAATGTTTTATATATAATTATATGAAATTATATATAATTTTATATAAATATATTTAATTATATACAATTATATAAAATTATAAATAATTTTATATAAAATTTTTTTTTCCCCGGTTATGCATATTCAGAACAGTAAATATTGTACATCACTGTATGGCTTCATGCGCACTCATTCTCTCTCTCTCTCTCTCTCACGCACGCATGCACGCACGCACGATTATAATAGACATATGTCATATTCACAATTTTTGTAGGTGTACTAATGTGGGAATGATTGGCGGTCCAAATGGTATCAAATATGACGCTTGTTGTCGCCAAATAGAGAATTTATTTTCTGAAATTCTCGATGAAATAAAATTGATCCGCTACGAAATTTTAGACGTTACAAAATTTTCGTGGCTAGAGAACATGTTGAACTTTAGAAACTTTGTGATGGAATTAGAGAGCATGATCAAAAATTTGATCGACTGCATATTTGATGAGATTAAAAATATTGAAGAAGGTATCGAGGCAATTTATGCTTTACAACGCTTTAAACATAGAGAATCGTTGCGAGATTTATTATCGAGGAAATGGGTGCAGGTGAGAAAGAAACACAAGAAAAACGAACTTATGTAAAAAGATAAAAATAAAGATTCAAACTTATTTATATATATATATGTTATTATATGCTAGAATGTATATAAAAATGTAATAATAGATATTTAATGCAAGTTTGAGAATATAAAATTTTTCTTTAATTAATAAGAATGCATTTCGTCAGGTTTGGGAAATGTTTGATAAAGAAATTGAAAATTGTAATGATAATATGATTTCATGTGAATCGTATTATACTCCGTTTCAATGTTATTCAAAAGATGTAATTATGCTGTGCATTAAACAATATTTAGAACGATTATTTCATATCATGATTGATATGTCCGATTGGATAGGAGATTGTGCAGCTGAGACGTAAGCAAAGTTTCTCTACTAAGCTAATGTTCTTTTTATCTGCTCACATAATCAATATATTTTTATCTAATTTAAAATATATAGGAGAACACTTGCAGTTTTTGTTACGCTATTTTATTAGATAAAAAAATTTAGAATCATTTTCTTTGTATGATCTTTATATATTTTACTGTGTTATAAATTTTATTATATGCAATATACACATATATATGTATATATAATATTATAAAAAATTATTTTTAGATATATATTGGAGCAATACAAGCGAATGATGTGTCGAAAAAACAATAGAATATCATCGATAATAAAACATGATAGAGTGTAATTAGCATATTGTATAATTATATAAAATTATATGTAATTTTACATAATTTTATATATAATTTTATATAATTATATATAAAACATTTTCTCCCGGATAATTTTGAAGAAAATTATATAACGTATACATACTAGTAGGTACTTGTATAAGAAAAAATATATGAAAATAAAAACTCTCTAAGCTCGCAAGTATATAAACTCTTGAATAATTTTTCTCTGCAAAGATTTCTAATAATAAACTCAAATAGTAGAAAAATCTATGGTAAATATGCAGTATAATGCACTCATCTCCGATTTTCTTGTAATTTTGTAAAAATTAATGAATTTCCACGAGTAGAATAATATACATATATTCTGAGAAAGAAAATCGTTGCTTAAATCCTGGTTTTTAAATTAAATTTTCAAGTTTTTTTATGTCAGTAATTAGGAAAATGATAATAATTATATAAAATAAATGATAATTATAAATATTTATCATTTATTTATAATTTTAAAGAAATGTTAGATTTAAACTTCAATCCACAAAAAGAAATAAAAAGATATTTTTATTTAAAAATACCCGAGAAAAGATGTTTTATATATATTATAGAAAATTATATACATATAATTATACATAATTATATATAAAATATATCCATTTATGTATAGTTATATAAAATTATTATGTATAATTTTATATAATTATATATAAAATATTTTTTCCCCGGTATAGTTATCTTCTAAAGTTCATATTTAATATGTTACATACATAATAAATTTAAGAAACTTTTAGAAGTTAGGCTTAATGATACGAACATAAATAATAAAGAGCATATATACATAGCCACATGTAAGATGTATGTAGCCGCATGTAAGAGTTGTACATTTAAATTAATTATAATTAGGTAATAAGGTAGATGCTTTGTGACCAAATTTTGACCATCATCAGTATAATACGAATATTATAAAGGATGTTACAAAGTAACAAATTGTTTGAATGCTTGTATAAATTCGCTATTCCAGATATGAAGGTGACTTAATACTACACACACAATTAGCTTATTTGATTTTGAAAAGACCTTTTTGCGTAATGGAAATTCCTTACTATCCGAAATATTCCGGAATATTATCCAGAGTCATGAAAATTGCACAGGATCTATCCAAAGTTTTGTGGGCCTCCCCGCAATTCATGCATTTGTGTTCAACGGAACATGGAGCCCCTTAACCTCTTTTGAATAAGCGTATTCTTCGCCGCAGGACAGACATGAGACAATAGATAACTGTTGCTTTTCGCAGCTTTTATATGTTCTGTGGTACGAATATAAATAAATATCAGTGAATAACTGTGAATAAAGTGGATAAACTATAAGAAGCAAAAATTGATTTTGTCAAAATGAACTTGGAACTATTAGGTAAATAAACAATTATGAGATCTGTGTAATTAATAAATAATAAAATTAGTATGTAATTATTTAGAATACCCCTCTCACCTAAAATTTTAATAAAAATATACTCATTTGACGCGTGTTTTCATTCAAAACGAAAGAATCTGTCAGAAAAACGCGGCGATCGGCCTCGTGAATCGTATTACCAAGCATTAAAGTTCAAGACTTTAGAGGTTAAGATATCTGTCATCTCGACTCGATACAGCGCTAATATATACGTTCTGCTTTAATTACACAAATTCTCTGCTTTACAAATACAAATTTACTGTTTTAAAACACAAATTCACTGCTTTAAAAACACATTCTCTACATAAGAAATGGACAAATCAATTATTCTCCTCGCATTCGACTGTAATTTGGCAATTTCTTACGGCTTAAAATACTTATTGTAGATTCGGACTAAAGAATTTGTATAATTAAAGCAGAACGTAGTGCTATATCGAATCGGGATGACAGATATCTAAACCTCTAAAGTCTTTACAAACTTTAACGCTTGATAACTCAGTTCACGAAGCCGACTACCGCGTTTTTCTGCCAGATTCGTTTTGAGTGAAAACGCATCGAATGAGTATATTTTTATTAAGATTTTAGGTGGGAGGAGTATTCTAAATAATATTACCAATTACTTAGTATTTTTTAGTCTTAAATTAATTTACCTTATTTATATTTTAACAATTATATACCTATTTTTTACAGAGTCATTTGGTCAAAACTATCCAGAGGTATGTCTACAATATTAATTGTGATTTTATTATTATGATTTTATATGAAGTAATTAAATATGTAAAAATTTTTAATGATTATTCCTATTAGGAATTTGATGGTACATTAGACTGTATATCTCTCGCTGTAACTTGTACATTTAATAAAAGAGGAACATTACTTGCTGTCGGATGCAACGATGGAAGAATAGTTATTTGGGATTTTTTAACTCGTGGTATAGCTAAAATTATTAGTGCTCATGTACATCCGGTATGTTCATTGAGGTAAATGTTACATATAGCTTATAAGTCTATTAAGTCTAAGATAGGTTGTGTATAACTTTGTAATGTTTTGTGTGTGTGTGTGTGTGTGTGTGTGTGTGTGTATTTCATAGTTTAAATAAAAAGTGATTGATTTAAGTTGATTCTGCAGTAAAGTGCTGAAAATTTGGGTGCCTCACCAATGCCCACCCAAAATCACAAATATCTGCATAATTTAGATAAAATATTAAAACTATATGTATATCTTAATGAAATAGTACGAAACATGATAGTAAAGTAAGAGTTACATTTTCACTAAATGAAAATACAGTGCTGTTTATATTTACTTTTTGAGATTAAATTTATATGCACATGTTTATGTATATAAATAGCTCTCCAGAATGGCCTATTACTTTTTTATAATCATTACAATCGTAATTTTTTTAACTATTATAATCTCGGTTTTTTTTAAAGAAATCTATGGTAATGTTTGTGTGCAGTTAGTCAAAGAAATACATCCGACCCGTATGTGTAATTAGATTATATGTTAAAAGTTACATTTTTTCAACATTTTTGTCCTTTATTTCATTGATAACCTAGAATTTTGCACAAGTTTGATACTTCAATTTTATTATACTAAACAATTAAACATTTTTATAGTAACTTGACTTACTGAGAATCACCTTAAAAGACAATATAATAAAAGTGAATTGGAAAAAATACAATACTAAGGGGCCGATTCTGTGACTCTTAATGACAGTCATTAATGTCGTTGCGCAGATATTATGTAGAGTAAAAAAGCTGCGCAATGACATCAACGACTGTCGTTAAGAGTTATAGAATCGGCCCCTAAATCTCAAAACATTAATTGTATTTTTTAGTTGGTCTAGAAATGGTCATAAGTTATTAAGTGCATCGACCGACAATAATGTATGCATATGGGATGTTTTATCTGGAGAATGTGATCAGAAATATAGATTCCCTTCTCCAATATTAAAAATACAGTTTCATCCAAGAAATCTCAACAAGTTTTTAGTATGCCCAATGCGTCACGCTGCTGTTATGGTTGATGTCGAAGGAACGCATAGAGTTATACCACTTGATGAAGATGTATGTAATAAATGACGTATTTCGATATAATTTTGCTAATGCGCCAATATTTGTGTGTGTGTGTGTGTGTGTGTATATGTGTGTGTGTACTTATGTGCTTATATATATATATATAAATGTTTAGAGATTTATTTTTAAGTATTTCTATTAAATAATTTTCTCATTAATTGAATTTATGATAAGAGACTAAAGCTGGTAAAGATAAAGTTGCTCCAATTTCAGAGTGATTTAAACATAGTAGCGTCATTTGACCGACGTGGAGATTATGTGTATACAGGAAACGCTCGCGGTAGAGTTTTAGTTCTTGACGCTGAGACATTAAATGTAAAAGCCTCTTACAAAATAACGCAAGGCACTGCTAGTAACACAGCAGTAAAAAGTATAGAGTTTGCACGGCGAGGTTCCTGTTTTCTAGTTAATACCGCTGATAGAGTAATTCGTGTATATGATAGTACTGAAATATTAGCGTGTGGCAAAGATGGTGAACCTGAGCCAATACAAAAATTGCAAGATCTTGTAAATAAAACAATGTGGAAAAAATGTTGCTTTTCTGGTGATGGAGAATATGTGTGTGCCGGATCAGCAAGACAACATGCATTATACGTATGGGAAAAAAGCATAGGAAATTTAGTGAAAATTTTACATGGGACCAAAGGCGAACTTTTACTCGATGTTGTGGTAAGAAAATTGAATTTATAATTACCATCATATTCCTTTGACTAAAATTTAATATGATAATATTATAAGACTGCTCATGGTACGCAATGTCTTTTATTTCTCCCTCTAATCTCTATAGTGGCATCCAGTCAGGCCGATAATCGCATCCATATCGTCAGGTGTAGTTTCTATTTGGGCACAAAATCAGGTAGAGAATTGGTCTGCGTTCGCGCCGGATTTCAAAGAGTTGGATGAAAATGTTGAATACGAAGAAAGGGAAAGTGAATTCGATTTGAGCGACGAAGATAAGTCTGTCGTTCAAGGAGAAGAGGCTCAGGATGAAGAAATAGAGGTTGACGTTGCATCAATTGACAGAGTTGCTGCATTTTGCAGTTCTGACGAAGAAACTGAAGATATTGGTTCACTTCAATTTTTACCTATATCTCCAGATGTAGAAGATTCCGAAGATAATCAAGTAATGCCACACGAACCGCCAATGAAGAAACATCGTTCACACGATATAGATTTACAGGGAGCACCGACTGACGGTAAGCTCTCACATATATTAAAAACAAAAACATAGAGAACGGACTGCGCGACCCGCGGCGTGTGTTAAAATGATAGATAAAAATAAGAGAGAGGGCTGATTTTCTATCTCTTTCCATTTAACAGTGTAATGAGAAGGAGATTGGCCATCTTCCACGCGCACACGCACGCACGCACGCACGCACTATTGTCGCCACATTTGAGAATACTATTTACTTAATTAGATCGCGCAGTCCATTCTCTATGTCTTTGATTAAAAAGTTATGTTTGTAACATAATTTTAAAGCAGTTGATAGCTGAATTTTTATACCGGTAGTCTGATAATAATTAATAAAATTTACAGAAACTCATCCCTTGCTAAATAAAGGAAAAGATAAGCCTACCACAAAGAAGGGAAGACCAAGACTTGAATACAAAAAGGGAAAGTAACCTAATGTGAGAAAGATATCGATAATAATCAAGAAATTTACTTATTATTTATAATATGATAAAAGTGTGAAAAATTCTTGACCATTTTAACAAATTTTTATAAAAGTATAATGTATGATAAACGTTAAATTGGTTCGAACTGATTAAAATTAAAATAATGAATTTTTTTAATCAATCTTAAAAATATGACGATTCTATCATCATACATCATTCCGATGATTCCGTTATCTCAATAAATCGCATTCATCCGTTACCTCAATAAAAAAAAAACATTAATTCACTCGTCAACCCGATGCGCAACAGCGGAATTACGTTTGCAACGTCGCTACGATGATTCTATAATAAAAAGAATATAAAATCCTAATTAAAATAGAACAGAAAAAATCAATCAATATTAAAAAAAATATGAAGAAAAAGAGCATAAAACCACAGCACAGGTTGTTAAATGTGATATTTAATCTATTCAAATTTAAAAAATTAAACGTTTTGGCCAATATTTGGCCATTTTCAATAATTATAAATTAAATCAACGCCTAGGATACATAAATATAAAATTCGCAGTCATATATCTATTTTGTCAACTTTACAAACTATCATCATTATCATGTGTGCGCTTATATATGTTCCGTAGTAGATGAGGATTATTTAAATTGTTTCGAATTGTGCATCAAGAAAATTTCCAGATTCTATATAATATAAAAAACTGTGATAAAATTAATATCTTATGAATTGATTACTAAGAAATTAACTACATTACCTGTTTTTATCGCAATTCGTTAACATTTATAATTCATCGTAGGCAAACAAATTGGAATATCATCTTGAAAGCGTATAGATATTGTGTATCGTGTTCTGTTGTGTGTCGAATATATATATGCGCGGCGATTTCGCGAAATTTCTAGAGCATAACTTAAGAGAGAGCGAGAAAGATCACAACTTAAACAGAGGCAGATAAACATCGGGCAATCCTTCTGGGTTAAGCTTTGCTTATTTATGCTTTTCGTTCGACTTTTTATCTCCATGAGTTTTTATACGTATCAAGAATGATTTTTCCATCCTGTTTCATCAATTTTAAATCTAAAATACTTATGCCCCCATCATCACCATAATCAACCGTAAATTTCACCTCGTTTCAAGGTACAGAATCGATCCCCTAGTTCTTTGCTGCCTTCTTCTTCTTTTTCTCTATTTAATTGGCCCGGGCCCTCGACAACGAGGTGAGCTTGGCCAGTCTTACAAAGCACAGTTAAAGCCGGAATCGCTTTTCAAAAAATTAATGGGATGATGCAATACCCGAAGCAGGGCAGACGAGCGTCCGTCCTACTCGAGCGTTCATGCTAGACTTCCGGTTCAAAACTAGTTCTTTGCTGCCATGTAAACATTTTAAACTGACAAGTATAGGCTAGAGGCCTAGATATCAGAGATGCGACATTGCGTCGGTTGGGTTAGGTCGTCATCGCCATTTTAATTCAGTGGCTGTGTTCCAAAATTGACTGCCAGTACTGAAAATCTATAATACACGCAACGTAAACTGTAGCATTTTCAGTGCTGGCAGTCAATTTGGAACACAGCCAAGGTGCGTTCCGTAACGTGCATGATGCGCATGATGCATCTATTGTCCTTGTTTAACATTTGGTGAGCAACAAGGATAAACGACGCATTATGCGCATCATGCGAGAAACGGAACGCACCCCCAGTATAAGTACTTATAACCATAAGGTGCCTTTTCATGTTGACTCTCGACAGTCTCGACGCTCGTTTTCAGCTGTTTTCAGCGCCAAAATAAATCACAAGATCAAAATTGACGCTTGATATTCGCCAATTTCTATCACGTGTCTTATTTTGACGCTGAAAATGAGTGTCGAGCGTCTGCATGAAAAGGCACCTTTATAAGCTGATGACAGCTGATGCATTACATGAGGAAAATTAAATTGTTAGAAAAGGAAGAAAGTATAGGGGAAGATCCCGTTTGCCTACAGTTCTGATTGTACACACCACTCATATCAACTGGTGCCTAGTAATTTTTTACTGTTTTGCCAATGAGATTATTTTATTTTTAAATTGGCCAATCAGCGATACCTGTGTGCAATATGCGATGTGTGCAATCGGAGCCCTCCCGTCGTAGGACTCTAATCATACGCAGTAATGAATTAAAATGGCGTTCTGATCACGTGATTTAGACAGCCAATCAGACCGTACCTTTCAATGTCGCATCTCTGTTATCTAGGCTTTTAGTATAGGCAAGTGTAGGCAAGTGCAGGCAAGTGCGGGCAAGTGCGAGAACTGAAAGGGAAGGAGAATCTTCTAGTTACTTCCAGTTTAGAGAAAATTTAATATAGAGGAAAACTTTGTCCGGAATATCTTGAAGTAGACAAGATTGACCGCGTGTAATGAAGAAAAAAATATATGTATATGTAAGGACTTTAATAAGGCACTGTATATAAGTTTTGCCACTCTGATTTTCGGACAAGCTCGGTGAGCATTTGTTTTACAAATCAATTATGTACACTCGATAACTTGGATTCAGAACGAAGCCGGTTCGTTCAACTGACACGTTGCTGTACTTCACGTGTTGTGTTGTGTTACACACGCGCATTTTGCGATTGTAGCTGTATGTATATGAAGGAGATAGGATAATTGTTGTCTGATTTCACAGAACGCAAAAGAACGGAGTAGTGTTAATTGCTTCATTCGTGCATGCGGATGAAACTCGAATAATCACGCAAACGTTACGTCCTATCATGATTCGATCGAGTTTCGTATTAATTTTTGTCATCGCTACTTTGCACGTTACCGTTGGTGATGACTGCAAAGGATGTGTGCCCTTGGATTCGTATTCGTTCGATAAGGTACGAAAAGCTTTTTATTTTATCTAGAATTTCAATGTGAAATAGTATCCAACTAAAATTCTCAGAATTCTCAGTTTATAACAATGCGTATAACAAACAAAATATGTATTAATACTTCTGTGAAATTTCCTCTTTTATACAAGTGTGTGTGTTGTGTGCACGCGTGCATATATTTTATTTGTGTGTGTGAGATTTAGTTAGGAAAATTTGTTTATCTAAACTGGATAAAGAAAGGCTATTGAGCTGAGCTGGATGATAATGCTCGTTTAAAAAAGTAAAATATTAACATCGCAAACATTTCGATCCATAACACAAGACATCTTCATCTACAGTACAATGGTATAAATCATTTATGACTTGTGTAGGTCGAAACTTTCGCGATATTTATATTTTGTTTTCTAGTATTAAAACAAGCATTGTCATCCAACTTGGCTCATTTGCCTTTCTTTATCCAATTTTTATTTATATAATCTTTTGAGTCTTGTTAAATTTTTTTCTAATTTTATTTGTTCTCATTAGCACCTTGAACAAATTAATGATTAACGATAAAAATTAACGATAAAAATTGTTGAAAACTTTATTTTATATAATTGAATAACTTTGCAACATATATATAATTTGGCATCTTATATGTGTGTGTGCGTGCGTGCGTGCGTGCGTGTGCAGCATAAATAGATGTATTTGCTTTGTGAATTTGAGAAAAGTATAATGACTAAGAAGTAAGGGATAAGAAAATTCAACTAATTTTTATTATTTTCAGCTATCAATCACATTAGCAAATTTCTTCTTAATTACCATTATACTTTTTTCAGATTCGTAAGCATCTTCTTTACAACTAAGATATCAATTTTTTTTTATCAAATTCCAATAAATCGATTGAATATTGACATACACTTCCTGTAATGTAGAATTTTATATTTAAATGAAATTTGTTATTTTACATAATTATGTACAAAGTTATGATTGTGGATATATTACAATTCAAATATGTCAAATATATAAGATGTAATTACAATAAAGTCAATAAAGTCTTTTTACGAAAACTAAATTGGGTTTGATATTTCTTTTTATAATATTTTTATATTTTATGACTATATTGCACATGAAAATGAATTGAGAAACTGTCATTCTACATTCAACCTCGATATGAGATATATGAAGATATTTAGATATATGTTACGATGTATACAAGTTTTTAGTTAATTTATTTTTGTAATATTTCGTGCAGGTTATTCTCAGATTTAAGGCAGTGCTTGTTAAATTCGATGTCGCATTTCCTTATGGTGGTAAGCACGAGCAATATGCGACCGTAGCGGCTGATACCAAAGATTCACAGGATCTCCTGATAGCTACAGTGGGCGTAAAAGACTTTGGTAATAAGGATAATTCCGATCTAGCGCAACGCTACAACATTAAGAAGGATGACTTTCCGGTAGTTTTACTATTCGTACAGGGCAAATCTGAACCAATTAGATTCATTCCTGAGAGAGAATCTGATTTTACGGGCGAATACTTGAAGCGATTTATCAGATCTAGATCAAGAGTGTACTTAGGATTGCCAGGATGTGTGGAACGACTAGACAAGTTAGCTGAAGAATTCAAAACTGTGGGAGAGCAGGACAGGCAGGTAAAGATTAAAAAAAAAAAATTAACAAGACAATATTATATTTCATTGAATTGTGCCAAAACGGCTGTATCATAAGCATATTTATTTGAAAATATTTAAGCAAAGATTAAAATGTAATTCCATAGTTTTATCTTTACATTCTTGTATCATTAAACTCTCTCTATGAAATATGTTTATTCTTTTTCCTAGGAAATACTAAAGAAGGCAAGAATCTTTGAGGAGACTCTACCGGAAGAGCAACGAGAGGCAGCAAAAATTTATGTCAAGACTATGGAGAAGATTCTCGAACGGGGAGATATATTTGTACAAACGGAAGAAACGCGGGTACAGGGGCTTCTTTATAGAGGAAAGTTGTCTGATCAAAAGAAGCGTACAATGGAAGAGAGACGAAACATCTTGCAATCTTTTTCAGCGAGGGACGAGTTGTAGAGAGTTTAAATTATAATACAATAAATCACCTAAGTAATATCTAGCAATCAAATTTGAGTCCGAGTGTCGAGATTGTGCTGTTTTGAATTATTTTACACGCTCATTTATCAAAGTAGCAATAGGAATAGAAATCGCGCGCACACGTATGAGAGCGGTACGTTCTTTTTTCTATTAATAAATGCTACCGTACTTACTTTAATTATTTTGCATTCCTTAGTCTATTCCTCTGTGACGAGATGTTTCTCACGCTTTGTGTTCTATTGGTGCAAAATACAAAATGATTTGTTATTTCATACGATTATTATTTTTTACTTTCATTTTTTCATACAAAATACAAACGAATATAAAGTAAATTAGGTACAATAAATATTTAAAAAACATGATTCTCGTTACTTAAGAGAATATCGGTTGTTGCATCAAATTGATTATTCAATACATTTACTGCTCATGTATCCGAAATAGAGTCTCATCGGGAGCGCTGAGCCGGTCTTCGTCCCTCCCGACTTCACATAATTGAGCCATTAACAATGACCACCGACCATCAAATAAAAATGGAAATTGTCTAATTTCTTTCATCTCTTTTGATTAATAGTTATTTTTTTTACACATATAATAATTGAGAAATTTATGGAAATTCTCAAATCGTACACGAATCCAATAGACAGGGAACGTGTGTTAAATAAATTTCGTATCTATTATATAAAACGCAATGTGTGTGTAGAGAAAAAATTAAAAATACTCTCTAAGGAAATGAAAGGTTGATAGGTTGTGGATTAAAGTTTTATATATATGTATATATAAAACTTTAATATATATATATATCATAAACAAAGTAGACGAATTGATCAATTTTATATCGATTATCGTATATGTATACTCTTTCAACATACTATTCACTCTTCTTAAGGAAAACATACTGTGCAATCATTAATTATAAAGAAACATGTGATATAATGCATAAATTATCTTTGTAAAATAATGAACAAATAAAAAGCAAGAAGCTGTCTATTTGTAAAACTGTCGTTGTATTTATTCGTTTCTCGCCAAAGAGAGAATCAACATTCCCTCATACACATTTTTTTCAGTACAAATGCAATTTCACATGAATTTAACATAAAATGAGTGTGCGTGCGCGTGCGTGTACGCGCAAAGTTAAAAAAATCACAGATATGTTTATACAAATACAGTTTTATCGCTGTAAAATTTAATAAGCTTTTTTATAATATTATTGCTAAAAATGCACCTATGTTTAATCTTCAAACAATGGCATATAATACGTCTGCCGTAACGTCTGTCATAATGTCAGAGAATGCGTCTTTTGATAAACTATATCTATACATATATATACATATATGTATATATGTATATATATATTTCGTATCACCGAATACAATTATTGCTTCTCACCTTCGTTTTTCACTTTTAACTTTGCGATCTCGTTGATTATTTCTTCTTCATTCATTATTACTTGTTTCTCTTCCGTCGTTTCATTCTCGATATCCTTTTGCTGAGAAATCGCTTCACAGTCTTCAGTCCGCTTCAACGATTTCATTTGGTCTTCGTTATCAGTACTCTCGCTATAACTTACATCACTGCTGGATTCGCTGTCACTTTCAATACGCTTTTGTTCCGAATTGCTTTTGCCAGCATAAATCTCACATTCAGATCCTACAATCTTCTTAGCTTTTTCAAATGCTTCCTTCCACATTGACGCATCTATCACAAACGAGTAAATATTCTACGTTATTATTATGATACTATTAGCGATAATACAGTTTGCGATAGTTATACTTTATACATAAAAACTATAATATAGCACTTGAGAACTCACTTTCAGCATTTGCAAAACGTATCGCAAGTAATTCTGGCTTGAGTTGTTCATCAGCGTAATCGGCAAGTACGCTCCAGACCCATGCTCTGTCACTGCCGCAATTTGGTTTCAATTCCATCCATGGAGTGATGAAATGATTCGCACAGATCTTGAGAGTTTTGTCTCTGCGCATCACTACTCTAACTGTATTTTTCGTTTTGTGTCTTAGTAGTTTGACCTCTCCTGTGCCACGTTCCTTCCATTCCGCAGGATTGCTCGACGTATCATAACGATATAACTTTGCCCGTCTAGAAAACATAAAAACATACATAAAACATATGTGTATTTTGTGTACATTGTTAATTGTTTCCTTTAAAATGAAAATCCTTATTAACACTTAGTTTTTGGTATCTTTACTATACGCAATGGATCTTTCGTATTCTGGATTAATTTTCTCTCATCACTTTTATAAGCATATAAAAATTATTAAGTGATTTTTATGTATATTTTGATATCTTTAGAAAGTACTTGTAAAGTTGTATATTTATAACAAATTGTATATAAATTGTTATAACTAAATAGTTGACAAAATGAGAAAAAATGTAAAACTCTAAAACAAAAGTGTTGAAAGGAAAAATATATTTCAATATTTTAAAATTGACACTCGAAATGATAAAAGAAAAAATAATTCAAGTATCGGCTGTTGAAAAAATTTAGTTATTTAGTAACCTGAAAATGTTTTTTTTAATATGCATGAATAACTATAAATTGAAAATATATTGCATTCACATTTTAAACAATGTATTTAATTATTGTTATTGTGTTAGAAAAAGCTTGTAATTTATTAGGAAAATATTCTTAATAACATTACAGATAACATAAAGTGCTAAAAACCATCGTGTTTATGAAGGGTTAATATGTCGTTCTAGGGTAAAATTCTTTTTTTAATAATTCGCGAAATATTCTTGCAAAGAAAAAAATAAAATTTTTTAGTTACAAAAATTGTACTCTATACACAGAATGGATCATTCGTGACCTAGAGATGAACTTTGGAGTTGTTCTAGTCAAAGGATATGCATGAATTGTGACTGGCCTTGAGGCAAGGCACAAAATTTGGCTCTAGACACCTTTCTTTTAGAAATACTTTTTTTTGGGAATGGAAGAGAGCCCCTGGTATTTGACCAGGTGCTCTTAGTATTTCAAAGAAAAGAAACGTACAGAACACGAATGAGTCATAGGTGTGTATTAAGGAGTTAACTTTTAACTTACAACTTCAACATTTCTGTCTCGTCCTCTTCATTGTTGGATACTTCTATCAAGGGTAATGAAATTATAGGTTCAAAATGAACGTCGTTTTCAATATTCTCTTCATCATTATCTTGAGGCTCACCATTTACCTCAATACGATCACCATTTAGCTTAAAAAAGAAAAGAAATCACTTTTTCTACTTTTACAGTAAATATTCCAATTGTGGAGTATAAGCTCGCAGTTAAAAAATATAAAATTTTTATCGAGGACTAAAAAAAATATGAAGACAGATGAATTAATTTCCATTCGTCTCCAAACATACACGAGAGAAAACACTGTAAAAAAATTTGAAAACAATATTATCGAAGCAAATACAACTTCTATTTAAAACGCACTCGTTTCGAAATAATACGTAACATAACCTATTGTTGATCGCGACGCGATCTTAATCGACCCGTACTTAATCGACCGATCTAAATTTTACTTTAAACGAAAAACGTGAAGAGGGAAAAAAATCTTGTCAAAAAAAAATATGTACGTACCACGTTCTCCGGCATTTTTAGTCGATACTGGCTAGAAAGCTATAAAGTGCTAAAGAAATTTATACGCTCGCCGACAATCGCTACAATCGCGTACGTATTTGTATGTATGATGATGTATGATATATCGTGGTAATCGTCGCCGTATTGTTCCGTATTTCCGTCCGCATTCATTCGTATTGGTCCGTACCGTCCGGTCGGTGGTCCGTTTGTCTTCGGCAGCATTCAGTTCAGCAGCTGTCACAATCGATTCGACAATCGATTTCCTTCAATCCAAAGTTATATCGAAACATCGAATACTTTTCGACTTTTTGACTTTACCTCATAGCGTATTTCACTGACATAAAATGTACGTTTAATAAAAATATAGAAATAAATTAAACCACAAAGTCCTTAATACATTTTATTGTAATATTTGATAAAATATACATTGGGTACTTTATTAACTGAGATCTCTCACTTTTACAGTCAGATTAGGTTAATGTACAACAGCTTTAATGTGCACTGAGTGCGGACCGGTTCTGCCAGTGAAATACGCTATCAATTTTAAGATTTGTTTTCATTAACCTGTAAAGGCCCGTTTACAATACACGGAGTAAGAGTAAGAAATTGACCAATCACAGTCGATTATTCTTCTCACATTCGATTGTGATTGGTCAATTTCTTACTCTCACTTCTTACTCCGTGTATTGTAGACGGGCCTTTACGCCCGCCAACTGCGCTGAACTGCACCAAGCGCAGCTTGAGGCACTTTGAGAATCGAAAGGTGTGGTGGCGCGCATGTTGCGAGGGTTGCGGCTTGCGAGTGTGTTCGAATTCGAGGAAGCGAGTCTCAAGCGAGCGAGTATATACTTACATGGGTCATGGGTGGTGGGCCGGGTGAGCGGGAGGAGTGAAGTGGAGTGGAGAGAGTGGCGAAAGGGAGTGGAGTGCGCGCGCGCGGCGCGATTCCGGACGGCCATTGCAGGCCATTGCGAACAACTTTGGTTGTAGGAAGCTTCGAGCTGCCAGCGCGATTCCGTGTCGTACGGCACACGAGTGAGAAATTTCGGTGAACCGACGTTTATCTCTGTACTAAGGTGCCCCGTGTTAAGTTTGGAACGCGCACGACACTCCGGCCCGATGGCTGAGACCGACAAATTGAACATCGACAACATCATAGCTCGTCTCTTGGAAGGTAAAGCTGGTCGATCGCTT